ACCCCCCCGGGGGGGAAACTTCAGCGGGGAAGGAGCCCCCGGAGCCCCCAGCCCCGCAGGCAGCGGCTCCCGGCGGCAGCCCGCGCTACCGGCCCCGGGGCAGCGGGGATGGATGAAGCCAAGGTGGGGGGCTGCCGTGAGCCCCGCCTGACCCTCCTGGACACCGTGCCCTCGTCTCCTCCTCTTCGGGGACAGCTAGCGACGATGCCTGGCTGCCTTCTCCCACCTGCAGTGGAGCGAACCCACAGAGAAACGTCTTTTTTCCCACTTCATTCCCCATCCTTTGGGTCTGGCTGGCGGAAAAGCCGGGATCTAGCACCCTGTGGAAGCCATATGTGCCATACACGAGTCGCAACTGTTGTTTGCTTGTGGACCTAAGGGCTGTCGTGCCCAAAAGCTTCCTCCTCTCCTTCCTAGTGGTATTAATGATGTTAATTAATTCTAATAAAAGCTGCTCTCGGCCCCCCCAAGCGCTGCCTCGCTGATGTACCAGAGCCGGCCCGGGGACCCACGTGTTGATCGGCCACCGAAATCAGGAGGCCGAGGACAGAGCAGGCATTGATTTCGTCGCGTAATTCCCTCGGCCCCTCCAGCTCTCCTGGCTCCCATCCTACCCCTGCTCCCACTCCCACTCCCGCTCCCGCTGTTTCCTTTGACTGCAGCCGTATCGCGGGCCCTGGGGAGCGAGCAATTAATGGCATCGGAAACGCACCTCCCTTCCAGATGGCCAGCCTGGCTTTAACGTACATTTCTCCCTTTTTTCTTCTCCGCTCAGGAAAAATGAGCGCGGATCCAAACTCCAATCCCGGCTTGCGGGAAATCATTTCATTTCCGAAATTTAAAGACAATCTCCGCAGATTAAAATGATGGAACAGCTGCGAAGCGATAGGGTAAACTGAAAGAGGGAGGGGGGATCGGCCTATCTTCTCCCTTCCCCCCTTGCCCAAGGTAGCGCCAGGCAAAAATTTGTCTTAAAAGGAAGAACAAAAAAAATCATATCTTTTTCTTGGATAATAATCGGGTCAGCAGTTAGGCAGTGACCACTGCTGTTACGGACCAGAGCCCACTTTTGGAAGTGACACAAGGGGATTTGTCCCAGTGAAGGCTCTCTGGGCCTACGGCTAAATCCCGGCGGAGCAGAGCCCCCTGAACGATGCCGGCGGTTCCCCTGCGTTCACCTGGGCGTGCAAATTGCCTTTGCACCCAGCCGTGAGGCTGAGGGGCACCCATCCGAGGCACCGTTCGGCACAACTCGGCATCACCCGCAGCATCTCACCACCACCCGGATGCCCAG